TTCAGGAAAAGTGATCAATAATGTTGTTTTATTGTCGACCGTATATCCGTTTTCTTTATCGTCCCATTTTTTCAGCAATATGTCAGGGGAAGATGAAACAAACAGCTTTCCGCTGATTAAGATCAAAGAAAGGAAACTGGAAACCTTTCTTTTCGCTTTTATATTTCCATCGCGTTTCTCGTAAATCTACTTCCTCATAGCTGGCTTCTAATGCTGATCATACTTCGAATAGTAGAAATTTCATCTAAATTATCTCTGCATTCTTTCGTCCAATGTCATTACATTGCATTAAAACGTAGTTTCGAAAACAATTCAATTAAATCGGCATTTTAATAAAATAAATACCAATCTAATTGCTTATTCAATAAAATAATTAGAGAATTATTATTTTATTTCTTTTATATAATAATGTTTTTTATTATTGATTGTTGTTAAATCAATAGCAATAATTATTTGAACAATTAATTGCGGAAACCAAAATTAATAACTTCAAATTTTTATTGAAATTAATAGTTCAATTCTTAAATTTTTAGATTTGTTAAACAATTATTTTATATAAAGTAGGAAGCTTCTTATTTTGGTTTTTTGATTGAAATATCTAAATTAAAAATAGCGAAAGATATATGGAAAGAGGTGAGCACACTATCTTTATTTTCTTTTTTTATTGACTTGAATATATCGATCGGAATATAATTCTATTTTGTGAGCACAGAAGTGTGTAAAGGTACAGGGGGCGTTTTCCATAACACGCTTCATCTGCCATAAAACTGACTTTCAGGTTCTCCAGGCCGATAACCCACTAGATGGCTAGCATCAGAGGAAAAACGATGGTAGAGATGATGAGAATAAGATCAGCGTTTCGATTAGCGTCTTCAGGAAATGCTAAATATGCATCAACAAAAATCTATGTTATACAAAATTCATCAAAGAAATATACAAAAAATATCAGTTTTTAATTTTTAAGAGATATATCATATCTCTTGTCTGTGAGATTGTTGCTATGTTAAAATATTACAAAAGTAGTTAAAGTATGTAGTAGTAACATTTGACATATGAGATATACGTTTCTCGATACAAGGGATGTAAGCACAAGCGCAATAATAATTGAGAATACTAATTGAAAAGGATGGACGAATGATAGCATGCTGCGCGTGGCTAGGTCGTGGGCTGACGATTTGGATAGGTCAGCGGCGTATCGCACGGCAATAAAAAACAACAGCGCGTGGCGAGAGGAACGAATGATAGCGCGTCGCGCGCGGCTAGACCTTGGGCTGTACGATCTAGGTGGGTCAGCAGCGTGTCGCACGGCAACGAAAAATAACAGCAGTACGGAGATCACGCCTCACGCGCCATTTCTATCCGCTCGCTGCTTGCGTGTTACTCCTCTCGCGCGACTATTTATTTTTTGTCATGCGATACGCTGACCTATCCAAATCGTACAGCCCACGGTCTAGCCGCGCGCAACGCTATCATTCGTCGATCCTTTTCAATTAATATCTCAATTATTATTGCAGCAATTGCAAAAGGATTTTTCTGTTCAGTTTATCGCGATCTACACGAGCGTTTAGACGAACATTGCTATTAAAGCAAAGTCAAACGATGATATTATAAAAGTGATGAAGTTAATTGCATCGTGAAATTTTCTTGCAAATTATTTCCCACGTGGAAATATCGTGCCGAAGTACGCGCAAACATAATTTGGCAGGCGTCGTTGATCGTATGTCGAACGTTTAAACTTTTATTAATAGAATCCACCTCACTTATTCGATGGTCAAATCGGTGCACCTGTGTGTGTGCACCGCGTTTGTCGTGCCAGCTATTCACTCGTCGGAAACCGTCGGTTACTACGACGACCATATTCACGGCTAAAGGAGGACGCTTCCCCACATTTTTCGCTGTAGAGTAACTTACTTTAGCAGCAAAAGCTCGGACGCGAATGCATCGCAGCAACTCAGTCGAGCGTTGCGTGATATTTTTATCAAAAGCACGTGGAGAATGGTGGTTCCGCTGCGACCCGCAGCTTGCCACTGTCAGCCGGCATTATGTTGTAGCGATCAATGGCATACTGCAATTGACACGTATTTCCAATCGGATTATATGTTGTATAAATAATGATACATGATTTATCAAAGCTACTCGTAACAAAACAACGTGCTTTAATGATCGAATTGCATGAAAAATCGTGTTATGATAAATCAATAAACGACATTAAGTCATAAATCATAATTTTTTAATCTCTTTGAGTAATAATAAACGACATTAAATCAACTTTATCGTTGCAATAAAAAATAGAGATTAAGATAACTTTTTAAAGGTGAAAATTTTGAAGTATATTTTTCAAAGTATTTTATTGCTCGTATTTATTATTTCATTACTTTGTAATTATGACTTTAAATCGTCTAATTTTGCGTGTATTTTGCGTATAAATTTCCGTACATAGTTTTGATCCAATAATTTCTTTTATTCCACATTTATTCAATTTTAACTAATACCAATCGCCATGCTACGTAATTTCTCGACTTTCACCGAATCGTGTCACTGCTACCGTTTTAAAAATAGTCCATGACGCTCAGGAAGACAGATATCGCAGCTTGCCGTCTCATCTTAACGTTCGTCTGACTAACGCTCGAGTATGATACAAAATGTTTCCGGATTTGGCGAAACCGAAAAGGAAATCAGATCGTCGCAGTAAGCAGTCCGACGGTATCCAATTTTGCTTTTCTTTCTCTTTCTCTCTCTCTCTCTCTCTCTAGAACGATCAATTCTCTCATTTTGATTCATCCGTATGTACAAATACGCGAGCCAAGCAGCGCATACATTGGACTAAACTTCGCACGTCAACAAAGGTACAGAAACAAAGGAAGAGAACGGACAGACGAACGGACGGGATATCGGTATTCTGAGTCGCTGTGAACAGGATGTGCGTTGTTCTCTCAACACTTGACAGCCATACGTTGACATCAGCATACATGTACGCGTACATTATCGAGCGCGAGTTTTACACGTGTGCACTACGTGTCTATAACGGGTGCCTACGAACTTTTCGGCAAGCAAAAATTTGTCATGAGAATCGACTTGACAATTGAGATTTATTTCTTTAAGGAATAAAAATAAGGATTTTAATATTAAAAAAGCAAAATTAATATTTATTTATTAGATTTGAGAAAAGCACCTATAATTGGAAAGTAAAATTATTGAAAAATATATTATATGTACAAAGTATAATACTTTTTGACTGTTAGTTTATTATAATGTAAAAATTGCAATCTATTTTTACATAAAACAAGCCTATATTTTCCTTAACATTTAAAATATTAACGTCAGTACAGAGAAATTAGCAAGAAAAATAAAAGATTTTTGTAATTTGTTTTGACTTAATTAAAATTATATAGAAATCAATTAATTTAAATTAAATTTACAGTTTAATATAAACCACAGTAAATAAATTGCATTAAATTTAATACGAAAATAGTAGTTTAAAGCTCCGACATAAGACTTTCATTGTTATCAATGTATATTTTCGTAGCTGAGATATGTAAAATAAATTTGAGTCACCTCACACAGATGATACAAAACTGATGTATGAATCATCTCACGGATGATCCAGAATGGATTCATGAATCATCTCTAAGGTCTACGAACTTGAATGCTTGAATCTTTTGAATGTAGATTCATAGACTTCTCTATTTGCAGATCTTTATCTCTTTTTTTCAGAAATTAGACACTTGCAAAATTTAAAAATCAACATTTACTAAAAATATAATATTAAAATAATAATGACAGTTTTTCATAGTGTTCTTTTTATTTGTTTTAATTTTTTCTATGTTTTATTTTTTTTTATTATTTAAATCTAACTCTTTTTCAAACATATTTGAATATTTGAGTATTTTATAGAATAATCAATTTCTTGTATGCACACTTTTATGTTTAATGCATGGAAAATACTGGTGTGCACACAGGTGCACAACTTTCACACCGGTTAGTTTACAGCTAGTTCGACCTGACGTGCAATTACTAATACAACGCGAATGTATTAGCATAAAGCCAGTGGCGTGCCCAATGGCCAAAGTTTACTTTTGCGATATCTAAGGATTATTTACAAGTTCGCTATATTACCAATCCAATTTCTAGTTTGAATTACGTTTGTTTAGCATTAATATCGATCGTGTGCATTCATCTCTACGCAAATGTCTAAATCTCTTTAGGAATTCCTATTTAACATTTGTGGTAATCTGCAAATCTGTTATTCAGTTTGTGATATTCTAGATTACATATAACTGTTATTAAAGATATAATTAGTTGATATAATTAGTTGATAGTATAAATACAACTGTTTGAGAAATTTTAAAAAATTAATATAATTATTTATTACGTTAATTAAATATTTGCAAGGTAAATTTAAATATTTATAAGTTTTAATAAAGAAAACTAAAAATAAAATAAATAGAATTTATCCTTAATAATTAATTTTTTTAAACACATTTTATAAATTATAATTAAAGAAAAGTTAAATTTTGTTGCTCTTGTCTCTCGTGTGCAAAAGATTATACGAAATGTAAGACATTTTTTAATAATTCACAGATAGAATTATGTAGAACATATAATTATAATTTCTTTGAAAAGCTACAATTCTATTCCATATTTCATAATTTATATATTGCTTTATTAGTCAAGAGATGGAATTTTGCTGAGAATTCCAGCTGTTCCATTTCCGCTAGATTCTTCTACCAATCCTGAGCACGTATTAAAACGGTACTCACGTAAAATATGGTATTAGCGTCATTAACTGGGGTCAGTGCGCCTAGAAAGGGCGCAACGACGTCTAGAATACGCAATGTATTTTATCTATTTACAAAAATAAATATATGTGATTAAACGAGATATGATAGTGAAAATAATGATTGCAAAATGGGAAATAAAAAATTTTCTAAAGATTTTTAAATTTTTTACAAAATATGAATTTTAATAAAATATTTTGACAATTGTTTTATGTCGGGCAGGTGTCGTCAACAGAGGAGATTCTTTCCGGAGAAGAAGATCGAGATCAAATTCCTTGGCGCCTGCCGAGAAAGAGACTGAGGAACGGCGAGCACCGCCTAAGGAAGTCGCCTCGCACACTGTCGCTATGCTGGGCACAAGAGGAGTTGGGAAAACCGCTCTTATCAGTCAGTTTATGACCAGCGAGTGCATAAATGCCTACGACAGACAGAGAGGTGAGTTCCATAACATACTTTATGCCATACTCGGAACATGATAAGGCAATGAAGAAGATATGATTTTAAGACTAACGATAAAAAGAAGAAACTACACGATTCTTATTTTCACTTATTATTATGCTATTTTCATAAAACTGATATCATCGTTACCGATTTAACAAAATAAAAAACTTTAACGTTGTACTAATGGTCAATGGAAATCATCAATCACACGTTCGATTTTTAGAATTAATATTACAAATAGATGTAACAGAATTTTAATTTTTATTTAATATTTAGATTTATGACGGAATGTTTTAATAATTACTAAATTATTAAAAATTTAATATTAAAAGTTATAAAATAAAGTTGATATCTGTTTAATTAAATGTTTTTGCTAAAATAAAAGGTTAATTCAAAATTATTTTATAAAACCACACATAAAAAGAAATTAGAAATTTATGTATAGTCAATACAGAGTTTCTATCATAATCAGGCTTCTGAAGGATTACGTCTAATCCTATTAGATTAGTAAAGATGCAATGTATTATAATAAGAGAAGCACCAAACGTAATCCTGTTCGAGAGCAACGGGATTAAATCCCTCTCAACAATACGTTTCATTACGATGTTGTGTAAACGCGACCGTGTGGAAACGATCACAGGGAGGAAATCATTGAACAGTTTTCGATCGATTCTGTAGCAAATAACCTCCATGGTAGCTTTCAGCGATTTGCACACGGCACGATCCTCGATTATATCGCGCGAGTTTACGTGGCGATCTCCTGTGTGTATTTCGATTGCGCTCCGTTGAAAGACGGCGCCAAGCTCCGCCGAGAAAAGCGTAGTTTCCGGTTTCCTAAATGCTTTGGGATATACGCTATTCTCACTGAATAAGTCGCGGACGACGCTTTTAAATCGATACTATAGAACAAGATCAATTGATTCCATAATATAAGAGTATCAATAGACGAATATTCTATGTCTGATCATACAATACTTTTTCTCCTTTGAATTCTCAACTGAATAATATTAATTTCGTGCAGGAAAATTTAGAAATGTAGTAATAGCGCATATACACACACACATATACATACAGGGTGTTTCATAATGTCCGTGCCAACGCTCGTGTGCGAATAGAGTGCGGTAAACTGAATAGAAAAGTTGATCGCGGCTAGATCGTAGGCTGTACGCTCTAGGCGTGACAGCAATGAGAATCGCATGGTAACGAAAAATAACAACGCATATCACTCCTGCTCTTGCTACGTGTTATTTTTCGTTTCCATGCGATCCTCGTTGTTGTCACGTTTAGAGTGTACAGCCCACGATCTAACTACGCGCAACGCGCGATTATTCGTCAATTCCTTTTAATTAATATCTCAATTACTATTGCAAAAATTGCAAAACGGTAAAGGACTTTTCTATTCAGTTTACCGCACTCTATCCGTACACGAGCGTTGGCACGGACATTATAAAACACTCTGTATATATGCGCTATTATTACATTTCAAAATTTTTCTGCACGAAATTAATATTATTCAGTTGAGAATTCAAAGGAGAAAAAGTATTGTATGATCAGACATAGAATATTTGTATATATATATATATATATATATATATGTATATTTGATAATATAATAGTATTAATATAATATTTGCGATTAAATATAAGACAGACAAAAATGGCATATCAATATATGATGTATAAAATGAAAAGGAAAGTGCTAACATATGCATAAAAAGTACATATTTGTTTTTTCATCATTTTGTCATCAAATAGAATATATTTCGAGTTGTTTACTTAAAAATTAAACTCTGCGGTATTTAAAACAAATTGAAATTGGACATGAATATGTAATGTATTAAATTTTTCTACCACTCAGTATTGATTATTAAAGCATTGGCGATGTCTCGCGTAATACAGAATTTGCGTAGGTATTTGGGTCGAGGACCTACACCGTCTCGACGATGATGTGAATAATCGTCGCCGCCCTGTCAACCATCCTTGCAGTATCCACCTGTTAAAACAGACAGAGATAGCTTTTGCACCGTTCGATCCCATTGATCTTAATTGTTCTATTTCTATATTTTTTTATTAACTTAGCTGAAAGCCGCACACTACGAACGTTTATCTATTTTTATTATAAATGATTGTTTTTTATTGAAAAATAAATTTATTTAAGTTAGTTCTATTTTGAAAAAATTGGATTATTTAATTTTAATTTCTCACATAATATTATTTTATAGCAAAATTTCATAAAAAGAATTTACTTTGTATCGCAGTTCACCTTTACAGCAAAGAGATATATAAAATATAGAGTTAAAGTCGATTTTAAAAATTAAATTTATCATTATTTGTTTAAAATAATAACTAATACTTTCTGTTATCTATAAATTGGATACATTTATTCTTCCATAGTTTACTCAACAAATCGAGTTATAAAAAATCGACTTCTATTTTTATCCTTTTCATACGAAAGGATCGCTTTTTCATGAAATTTGGTTTAATATTTACCAGTCATTAATTATTAGTAATTAATCAGGCAATTTTCTCGCCTGTTTTTCCCCCCATCGCAGATTCTTCTTCTCGTTGAAAAACTTTCTCACAACTCTTTCATTGGAGCTAAAGTATGATAAGCGAGACGAGTGAGGCTTTGTTCCAGTTGGACACATTCAATCCACGTTTGGCGACGTCATCCGGCGCTATTACGATCGATATTCGTACGAGCTATCAAACAATGGGGCACGCTCGCTCAGAGAAAAAAATCCGCGCCCTCTTCTATTTTCCTCATATATGTATTTTTTTTTATATTCCAATATAACAGGATTTTCTATTTATGTCCATCAGTATGCGCCGGTGAGCAATATTCGCGTCAAAACGGAAATAATGCTTTCGAAACGGTATCGAGAGTCTCAATGGCGTAACTCTCGTAATAATCACACTTCGTGCGCGAAGCTATTTGTATGCTGCTGCCAAATATATAAAACTCGGAAGTAAAACATGGATAACCTCGCAGCTCTATTTTTTTTACGGCTATAATAGAGCTTCCAATTTATTATTAAAGAAGAGATGCAATTTTTGGCATTAATCAAAACGCGCAGAATTTTACGCATTCGCAAATTGGTACACGTAAAATGCAAGCATGAAGGCATTTTATCTTGCTCTGAAAAGTAAGATTGGGAATAAAACACAGCAACCTGTGCCAAATGCCAAGAGGTCACAGAGGAATAGATGTTGATCCTGCTCTAGTGTGTGTCTCAGCTTTCGAAAATATTAACGACTTTGGCCGTTACCTCGTGTGATCCTAGCGCTTACGCGATGCAGTGATTCATGTGTTCTTCCTCTCACACATCTGTTTATTTTACATTCTTCTTGTTCTCTGATCTTTTCGTAGACACCGTTGCAAACTTTGCTTTCATTTCCTTGTGATCAATATCGGTTGAAAACACTTAAATACACAAGGAAAATTCCGGGAACAAATGAAGTGCAAAGAATATTCTCCACAAACTTATAATTAATTTTGCATCGATTATTATTTAAAAAATAAAAATAGAAGAAATTACCTTATTTATTATTGAGGAAATTGATTGTTGATAATACTTATTTTTCATAAAATTTTAATTAAAAATATTAAGAAGTGCATAACAGCGGTTCTTTATTATTTTTTACAGCTTTTTAATTGCTATAAGAAAATATTAAATTATATTGAAATTATATATTAATGAATAAAGGAAAGAAATCGTTTTTAATTAAAATATTATATATTATTTGAGGAAAATCAACGATTGATCTACTAGCTATTAATTATAACTGTGTATATCGGAACCCCATTCCATTAGCATTCTTTAGTTGATTATCTTTATTACCATGGCGCTCCCGTAATTCAATTAATAATTTAATCACGACGCTCAATTATTTCTACGTGATAGTACGTATTTATTGAAATTCCCTTATCACTTTCATGTTGAAACCTATTTTTACTTAACAACCCTAACCCATCGGTCGTTTAATAATATTTTTATCGATATTGCAATATAAATTATCTAACAATAATAAAATTTAATAATAATAGAGCATATTTTCCGTGACGTACATTTGAAGCTTATGCTGCATCTCAAAGCGACTCCGTGAGTACATTTTAATCACCGAGATTATAATTGTATTCAAAGCGACAAACCACGCATATATACGGATTATGTTCATATTATAGCGCAGCTGCGTAATGGCATCGTAATAGCTCAATGAACACCTCAGCTACACAGATAGTTATATGATAACATCCTGTATAGCTAATCTCACGAACCTTGTGACAAGCTAAGATACATTACCGTTTATCACATTGCTTCATTCTTGTAATTAGATACATATATTATTATAATTTCTATTACGTATAATGATATATATAATTGTGCGGTAACTAATAACCTAATTAAACAAACTATATTAATTATATATCCTTAATTACGTCTTAATTTGATTTGATTATTTTAAGTATTGAGACTGCTACATGAATTATAGATTGTAGAATTTGATGTTAATTGATCATTAATTAATTATGGTAAACTTATTGATACATTATCAAACATGCAATTTGTGAATTGCAAATGTATTGTAACTGTTATTATATAAGTTTTAGAAAAAGATACATATTTAGTGACCTACTTGTTGAGTTTTATAATACTTACGAAAGCTTTTCGATGTCACGTGTGTTTCAAACACACAATTGGGAATAAAAAAGAGATGGTTTGCAAAAGACAGTAGAAGCAAAATGGAGTGGAAAACAGATTCACGATTAATTGCGCAGAAAGCTTCAAGGAGAATACGGAACATTTATTAATGGTAAAAAAGTCAATCAAACCTGATGGGGATTACGTGGAATAATTAATAGTTACCACAATCGCATTTAAGATATGAGTAAAATTGAAAAAGATTATCGTATCTTTGATAAAACTAATTTCACTAACATCAATAAAGAGGACACGAAGGAAAGATTTTAATTGAAAATCAACGTTAAAACC